TTATGACAATTCTTTTTGAGAACTTGAAAATCCTTCATTTGGTACCCATTTCTCGTTGACACTAAATAAGTAAATATATATATATTAAGTGTTGATTATTATGACAAAGTGTAAAGTGTATTTTTTTTTTGTAAGTTCTCTCTTGGAAAGAGAATAATTGAGAGATAGGAATTCTCTCTATGGTGATTATTTTGAGAGATTGAAATTCTCTCTTTGGTGTTTATTTTGAGAGATTGAAATTCTCTCTTTGTTGATATTTTAAGAGTTTGGTAATTGTTTTGAGGAACTGAATATTCTCTATTGGTGAATAATTTAAGAGCCAGGAAATTCTTTCTCTGTTGGTGAATAATTTAAGAGCCAGGAAATTCTTTTGAGTATTGGTAGCAATATGGAACATCTTTAGGAGATCAGTATATAGAAAATTCTAAGGGAATAGTGGTTGATTGTAACACCCCAATTTTTCAAAACCAAAATCCGAGAAAATTTAAATTTTTTTTTATTTAATTAGAAAATATCGTTTCTTTGCGGAAGCTAACCAAAACAAGGAAAAAAAGGGATGCTACAGCCACGTTTAGATAACAACCTATATCCAAACGCACAGACTAAAAACAACACTACTAAAAATAACACATAGTTCATTATATTACAATGCATTAAATACAATTGTCTAAATTGTCTAATAAATTAAAAACTCCAAATACTAATCAAAAGGATAAAATCGCTCTCATGCTCCAAATGCTCATGCAACATCACCTGCAAAAGAACTAAAGAGGGGACAAACTCAGCATTGAACAGCTGGTAAGACTTACTCCACCCTGTAAAACATTTGCACATAGCACATATCACATAGGAGCATGTAGTTGCACGTAAACCCCTTAGTACATTTTTATTCTCAATAATGCCAAAAACCATTAATCATTTAGAAATATATATTGAGGAAATCACACATCCAAGTACAAAAATATCCATAACAACTTCTAGCATATCGACTAAGGCATTGCCTATCCATAATCCAAACTTATTCAACCATTATTCTTTCCTCAAAATTCTCCATAAACCTTTATCTCAACATTTCCATATAACCATATCCTCAAAATTTCCATATAACCAATTAAGGAAAATTACCGAACTTACAATTTAATAACCCAAAGAGAGTTTTCAATCTCTCAAGATAATCACCAAATAGAGAGTATCCAAAACTCTCAAAATAACCACCATGGTAAATTTTCCAAATAATTGATTAAACTTTTCACATGTCCAACAATAGTTATTATATACAATGCCAAGGAGGGATGGATCCAAATGGAAAATTTCAAGCTTCCAAACCAAATCATATCCAAAACCAAATCCAAAATAAACCGGACGAATCTACGAACCGGTGGCCAATTCAATTAGAGAGATCTCAGCTCTCATAATAATAATAGTAATAAAAAATGAGAGTTCAAAACCTCCAATTAGCACCATCCTCCGAGACAAAATATATATGTAACTATAACCTTCAAATTCACATCTTATATCATAAGTCTGATCTTTACACCAAAATAATAATTTCAACCTTACACTTGCATCAATAACCATTATAACAATTGACAAACCATGTGACATGTTTTTCATGAATACGCACCATAAGAATAGGTACACACTTAAGAATTTTCTTATACCTTTATTATTACCCCCAATACACACTATCCCAATTTTATATATTAAGGGATACACAAAATACATATCAAACCTTCTTCACAGTATATACATTATTAAATTACACATCACAAATTGCATATATCCAAAATGCACCACAAATGTCATAATAAGTCACATAATTCCACAAATCACATAATATTTCACATAATTATCCAACAACAAACTTATCACATAAGCACTTAGTAAAATGATTTTTCTTTGGGGTAAATAAATTTTAGGTAGACATAAATCTTACCCAAGAAGTAAAAGTGTCCATTGCATACACCCGAAATACTAAAAGTTGATGATTCTCATCCACTAGCTCTAATTGGTGATGATGGAGAAGACTATGATGATGAAGAATAACATTCTTTTCTTGGTTGTTCGGCAATTGAGTGTAGGAGAGGGAGAGAAAATAATTGAAGAAGGAATTGAAGATGAATAGAAAAATATATAGATAACAACTAAGTCAACAATGGAGTGGATTTGAGTAGATTAGGGAGAGTTGTATGTAACGTGTGTGTGTATTAAAAAAAATTGGGCATTGATTAGGAATGATTAGATAATTTATCTATATATATATAAATATAACATAAGAATTGATTTGGAATAATTAGGTACTGAATAGGTATACATATATTTAGGTAATTAGGATAATTAATTAAGAAGATTAGAAATAATAGAAATATATATAATACACGTACCACATACAAATATCACATATATAATAAGTACATACCATATACTAATGTACTATAAATTAATTATTTACATAGCTAATATATCAAATACTATAGAACCACCATATAATAAATAATCATAAAAGCAATCATATTTACAACAAAATATTCCAAATAACCAGGTATCACATTGATGGTTTCTCTTGGGTTATATATAGGCTATGTCCTATTTATTTGTTTCTCCTTGACTTAGTGGTAATGGGTGGAAAATATATTACTTTTGAAAGGTTCCTAAAACATCTATTGTGAGAAATACTGATTTGGTATTAAAAATTATGAGTATTGTTGAGAAATTATGGCTGTTGGAAATTCTGAGTATTTCATATTTGAGTTATGTTTCTATATGATTATGCTTTATTGATAAGAAAAGATTAAAATGTTTAAAGGGTTTATATTATATGGCCATTATAACACCCCTAAATTTTAAAACTTTTTAATATTATAATAGGAAAGTAATTATATTAATCAATCTCAAAACATAGCATACTAATCATAAATGTTTGGGGTGCTATGCCACATCTAAGCTGGAGAACTCAGATGCACAGGCTATAATAACTAAATATCTTCAAAGAAATATCAACACATCATCATGGCACGCAGACCAAAAGGAAAACTATTTATCTAAGCTTCGGTTCTCTAGCGCGCTCCGGAGTCTACTCATCTGTGCTTGAAAGCCAAATATATCTGTTCAGCGAATAATGCTGGTAACCCTCTCCAACGCGTTAAAATACTTTATAGGTATATATATATATATATATATATATATATATATATATATATATATATATATATATATATATATATATATATATATATATATATATATATATATAGGAAAACCATTTTGAAGCAGGAAGATATATACTTAGGAGACTCTAGCTTTAAAACCAGGAATAGACTCGACAATTAGGGATAAGCACATTCAGCAGTTACAATCAAGAATATAAAGACACTAGCATATATCCTAAGGTCACAGGTTAATTTCACATCATTCATATCATCATTCAATCAATATCCTATCATATAAGCACACTTTGGTGGCGCCACAGGACCAATCGCATGCCCATACATGAGGGTCAGCTCATATAGCGCTAACACGGTCCCGCAGCACCCTGCCTCGTACCGCAGCACGAAGGGGTTGACCGCAGCTAACCGATGAACCGCAGCTTATCAAAACGTTTGACCGCAGCCAAACGGTGGACCGCAACCCAAAAGTGTATCTCTGACCGCAACCAGGTTATGAACCACAGTTGATGTAAAACATTTGATCGCAACAAAACGGTGGACCGCAGCCCAAAAGTGTAGTTGTGACCGCAGCTCAAGTATAGCCAATTTGATCACAACCAAATTGGGGTATCATGCACACATAACACATAGCAAGCACATGCAACCCACATTAACACATTGGGAAAGGGGAGAAAACGTATAATGAAACCTATGCGTGGTCATCCACATACTAGGAATAAACCTAAGGGGTTCATACTTCTTTCACCTAGCCCAACGGGATACCAATTCAACTAGCATGCAATATATAAGACTCTTTTATCCTACAAATGGTACCCGAACATCAAACTAGACTCAGGCACGATAAACGGAGTCCGTTGGGACACCACAAGGGTCGGGGAAACATCAAACGGGGAAACTACCATCCCGAAATGGGAAAAACCAGCGGGTGGTCAGCGGGTAAAGGACCACCCGCCGGCTGCAAAGTACCGGGCAGCGGGTGCCCGACGGGCAGTCGCCTGCCCGCCAGCTGCCCGCTGCCGGCAACGCCCATTTGGGGCAGGGGGTTCCCCTACCCCCCACTAACTTTTTTTAAATATATTGGTCCCGGGATCTTTCGTGGAACCCGAAACCATATTTAGATACTTTTAAACATAAATGACGACACCACGTAGTCAAATAATGGATCAAAACCAAGAATCATATTGAACACATCCTAACATGACTTCTAAACATAATTAACACCCGAACATGCAAAATCCCACCCAATTATATCAAGAATATCACAATACGAAATCCCCAATTTAACCTAGGGCTCTAATCATATTCAAATCATCAAAATCATAGTTTATCTTTAAAATCAAGAACATCAAGATTTATCAAGAACATCACACAATTATCAAGATCCTCTTATAATCATCAAGATTATGAAGATCAACACATAAGATCATCTCATCAATCATCAAGATCATATCATAATCATCATAAAAGATTTATCAAGACGCAAGCATAGAGAAGGAGCCAAAGAATAAAATTTTAGCAAGGAAAATAGGTTTTGTTGAGACATGGGTTACCTCTTAGCCTTAATTAGATTCTTTGGCTATTCAGGTTCTTTCTCTAAGATCTCCCCTTCTTGATTTCTCCTACGTTGGTGATAAGAGAATTCTTGGGAATTCTTGTGTGGTGATATCTATTGTGGTGTCTTCTAGGTGCCTCCTATGTCCCTATTTATATATCTAAGAGTCCTAACTAGGGTCTGAATGGTATGGGTATGCTAATTCTATTTCTTATAGGACTAAGGGATTGGTTTAGGGATAAGGGTTCGTGGTCTATGGTGGACCCTTCTTAATTAATTAATGGAATTTAATTCTCTTTTTAGAAATGTTGCAAAACACGTTAGGCGCCCCCTAGGCGGCAAGGGGACGCCTAGGCGCCGATTTTTATTTTTTTTTAATTTTTTTAATTAAAAATTAAATTTTTTTAAAATTTAGTAAGAAAAAATAAGGTTTCCATAGTTATTTCTTAGAAACTATTTACGAAAGTAGTTGTAAAAGTGTTCAAAAGATTGTTTAAACCATCTAAATACATAAAAAACTAAAATTAAGAGCTAAAGAAGCATTTTTTTTTTGAGAAATTAGTGGACCAAACCGCCTTCGGCAATTTGCAGTGGATAGATCTTGAAAAAATATGCAATTTGAAAAAAAATTGTCCAAAACGGACAACTGAGTCAAAAGTTATGCCTTCCCGAACTTTTCGCAATTTAAAACGCAAAAAAAAAAAAAAATAATAATAAAAAAAATAATTAAACGCCGGTTCGGCGCCGGTTCAGCCGGCTAGGCGGCCGCCTAGACCGCCTAGCCGGCCCGCCGCGGAGGAGGCCGATTCCGGCCTTCTTCGCGGCGGCGGCCGGGCGCCTAGCGCCCAGGCGCAATTTTTGCAACCATGCTTTTTAGGGTAAGTAATTAAATAATTAGCTTGGATTAGAGGTCGTGACACGGGGTGTCACACCAATTATCTGCTCCTATGTGCTATGTGCAAAAATGTTTTACGGGGTGAAGTAGATCTTATGATATGAACCTAGTCCAAGGTTCAAATAAAGATCGAATATTGTCCCAAGAATGCTCTCAAAAGTAAAGATAGAGATGGATCAAAATACCTTAAGCCTCACGAGAAACCCTTTGTCTCGAATCCTCAAAGACATAGAAGAATCTCATTGTAGCTTCAAGTACCTCGATGATGCAATCTTCAATCAACTAGAGTCGGATCTAGTTTCCTTCGATTCAAGAACGAGTCCACGAACCTAAATCTAAGGTTGAAGAAAGTAAGATTGATTCGAGTCCACGAATCAATTTGATAGTCGAGTCCACGACTAGCTACTAATTGAGTCCACAATTAGCCATAAGGTTTCTTACACAAGTGTAAATAAAAACTTAAGAATTTTATTGAATTAAAGCCTCCCCGAAACTGATATGGATGTGCCCTATTTATAGGTATAGGGGCAGCATTATAATTCTAAATACAATGGGAAAAAGAGTCCTAAACCTAATCTAGAAAACAAGTAAATAGAGTTTTATTTAGAAAAGGATTTAAGGAATCCTTTCTAAATACAACTAGTGTTTTCTCTTTTATGCCAAACAATTTAAATTAATGATGATAAAAAATAATAGGGCTTATTTGGACCTAATTTAATCTCCAAAATCAGCACTTAAACAATTATAAAAATCCTTGAATTCTTCTTCATCGTTTGCAAATGGGCTTGACTTGGATTTCCACCATCTTTGAATATCACCAATGAAGAGTTGTCTTAATCGTTTGGACTTGGGCCGTGTGATTGGCCCAATTGGTATTCTTGATGGATCTTCATTATGTTGGGCCGCATCATTCTCCCCTTCTTGAAAATGATTCGACCTCGAATCTTGTAAGCATTGTCTTTGATCCATGATATCACTTGAAATGGGCCACTATAATACTTTCCTCTATCGAATGGAATTATTATTGGGCCTTCTTGTTTCTTCCACCAATGATTCTTTAAGGATGTAGTTATGGGTCATGTGATGAGTCCACTATAGACCCTTATTGGATTCCATGTGTACTGGTTCTTATTATTCTTCCCTTCTTGAAAAGGATTCGTCCTCGAATCCAAATCTTCAATGAAAGACAAATTAGCAAGCTCACTTTGTGTTTTATCACACTCGTGAAACTTTTTCTTGGGATGCTTGACACGAGTAGCTCCAATTATCATCCTACAATCAACAAGTAAGGGAATTAAGTCTAATGACAAAGCATGAAATTTAAACATTTTTAATGGTAATAGTTCAACAAAATGAGACATTAAATTTAGACATCTTGTTTGAATTATCAGCAAGCACAAGATCTTTCCGCCTAGAGCTTAAGGCTAAACCAAACACAAAATCCATGGAAATATCAAGTAATGATTTAGATGCATTGTGGTGGTAAGTAGCACAATTATGAACATAAGATTCTACATCTTTTTTCTTCTTTGGCCAATGAAAATATCCATGCAAAACATCATCACTTTTTGGAAAATCAAATTGTCCCTTATGTGAATCAATAATTAAACCATTGCTCAAATCCAAGCAAAAAGTGCCAATCCCATTGACTTTGAACGAAAATCCCTTGAGCAAGTAGTATTTCACATAAGAAGTTTTCAAATGTGCCTTATAACGTCCCAGTGATTCCTTATCTCTATCAAATAAAGTTTTAGTAAAATCAAAATTAAGGAATCTCGGATGTATGGATGCAAACAAATTTCTAACACATCTAGCAAGTAGGTCATTAATAGAAACATCGCAAACAAATCTAGAGAATTTTAATGCATGCTTGAAATAAAAGTGAGTAAATAGTTATTCCCCTTCTTTTCTCTTGCTTAATATCCTTTGTAGTTACCAAGAGAGGTTGCACTTTGACACCTTGGGCTGGTCCTTTCCACTGTATCACTGATTGTGGTCCCTTTGCTTGGCTACAAACTGAGTTAGAAGATTGGAGTGGTGATTGCAATTCTAAACATGGAGGTTCCACTTTTCTCTCTTTGATTTCTTCCTTTGATGTTGGTTTGAGAGCTTGCATCAATGTCAATTGAATTTCTTCTACTTGTTTAGGATACAAACGAGGCAAGACATATGTAACTCCATTCATGTGAAACACATAAGTGTTCCTCATTCCATCATAACTTATTTTTCTGTCAAATTGTCATGGTCTACCTAACAAGATATGAGCAGCCTGCATTGGGATATTATTACACAAGATTTCATCACAGTAACTGTTAATAGATAAAGGAATAAGAGCCTGTTTGGTTACTCTAGCTTCTCCTGCATCAGTTAACCATTGCAAACAATAAGGATTTGGATGATTAAGCAAAGGTAACTAAAGAAATTTAACCATAGTTGCACTAGCCACATTTGTGCAACTTCTAGAATCTATTACCATAGCACACGCATTCTCTCTAATTGACCCTTTAGCACAAAATATATTTTCTCTTTGAGACTGATCTTCTTTTAAAGGGTGAACATTCAAAACCTCCTTAACAACAACAGTATGACTAGACTCACTATCAACATATTTAGAATCAGAATCTAAAGGTATGAATGGTTCTCTCTCAACATGTTCATTGGGGGTTTCAAAATGGTCACAAACCTCATCCTCAGATTTATATTCAAGACAAGAAGTAAAATTTCCAGATTGTGTTGTTATCTTAACTACCCTCTTGTTAGGGCAATCACGAGCTTTGTGGCCTCTCCTATTACATCTATAACAAACCAATTCTCTATCACGTTGAGGCTTCACTACCTCACTTACCTTTTCTTTACCTTTGTCTCGTGAATCATCTCTTGGAAGAGGACGTTCATCACACCTTTGAGAGGTGGAACAAGTGTTGTTCCATTTTGACGCACCATTGTTGGCCTTGTACATTTTCATCTCTTTGATTTTTGCCTCAGATTCACCTGCAGCATACAAGGCATCATAAAGGGTGTCATATCTCTGAATACTCATTCCACGTCGAATTTCTAAGTTCAATCCATGTACGAAACAAGCAATAGATTTTGCCTCTTCTTCATGTACGTTTCCTTGTTCAAGCAAAATATTTATAGTTTGGTGGTACTTATCAACTGACATTGTTCCTTGCACAGTTCCTTGCAATTTTCTTTCAAGATCATAGAAAAAAGATTTAGGACGAAAGGTTAGACGCATATCTTCCTTCACTTGAACCCAAGATTCATAGGGAATAAAATTAGCAACTCTCTCTCTATTTCTTTTTCGCCACCAAGATAATGCATACCCCTTAAAAGATGTAGCAACTAGCCTAATTTTTGTAAGATCGGAATAGTGCTTTAAATAAAAAAAGAGTTTCAATAGCATTCTCCCATTCTATGTATTCGGTGGGTCCTTTCTCACCGGTGAAGTTAGGAATTTCATGTTTAATGTTTCCTAACTCCGCATTACGCTGTGGGATCCTTTGACATCTAGGATCCACTCTTCCTGCTGGTGGCAGATGTCGCTCATCATTGTGTGGTGGTTGCACTTGCTGTGAGCGTTGCTCCAAAATATTCATTCGTTTGAGTAACCTGTCTATCTTTTTTTCTAATGTCTGTGGAAGGTTTGGAACTTGATCAGCCATCTGTATAGGAAAAAAAATATCTAAAAAAAAAAAGAAGATGTGTGAGTAATCACGTTAGTGAAACCAAAAAGTTGGCTCGCTCCCTCACTATTCTCAGCTCGCAGGTTCTAGGTGGATTATATGGCTCTGGTGGTGTACTACACACTCTTACAAACACACACTCCACTCGTGTATCGCTCAAGGTGCAGATACTCCCACTAGCCTTTTTCCAAAAAGGAAAATTCTAGTCCGGAACTCAAGTTGATATGGATTCAACCTCAAAGTTCAAGAAAACGCACCTTGGAAAACTTCACAAGCCTTTGAGATTAAGGTGTATCGCGAGGTAGGTAATAAAATTGAGAACAAGAAGCAAAGAAAAAGGACAATACAAACAAAGAAACTAAGCAAGATTTGAAAGAAAAAAGGAAACCAAAGAAGGAAGTATGGCAGAAAGATAAGCAAAACCAATATCAACAGATAGAGACAAATAGAATGTAAGAGGGGTTCAAGTATACCACAACAAAATAGGAATCTATCAAGAAATCCTTCCAACCTTATACTTTTCCCCTTCCTTTTCCCTCCAAGAATCTCCTACCAACCTTATCCTTCTTCTTCTTTTGCTTTCTCTATTTTTTTTTTTTTTTTGCTTGTTTTTTTTTTCAACTTTCTTGATTTTTTCAATTTTTTTATAAGTAACCTCCAAATAACTACTGTAAATACCAACAAAAATTTCGGACCAAGAGGATCCACACAA